CTGTTGTTTCTGTCTGTCTGTCTTGCTCTTTCGTTGCTCTAAATTACTTTTATTGTGTCTATGTGCTACTCTTTGCTCAAATAAAATGAACTGGTACCATAACCCCAATCGGTGAGTGGTTGGTGAGTGCTCTGGTATGGTTTTCTCCATCTTTCCTATCAAGCGTCAGTTTTCCTCATCTCTCCTCCTTATTTTCTTTGTATGTTACTTTCTAGTAGTAACACCTCTAATCTTTGACACTTATAAAATATGACTTATTCATGTTGCAAGCATCGCAAAAACTCTTGTCCAAACTTTAAAAAAAGCCCCTGTCCTCAAATCTTCGGCATGTATATGACCTGTGGGTGGTTGGCGGGTGCTCTTGTGTGGTTTGCTTCTTCTTTCCTATCAAACATCTATCGTCCTTATCTCCCCTCCTTCTTTTTCGTGTTTGTTACTCTCTTGTAACACCTCTAATCTTCGGCACTTATATGACCTTCTTGTGTTGCAAGTGCCGTAAAACGCTTACTAAAACTAAAAAACGTATATGACTTGTTGGTGTTGTAAATTATGCTGTAAAACTCGTACTGAAACTTACTTTAAAAAGAAACCTCTCTACTGTCCTCAGACATTGGTCAGGAGAAGCAGGAGCAGGAGTTGAAGAACTCCATCAGCTCCTTCAAGCGTGCCAGTCTGAAGCATACAGAGACGCAGGAGAAGAACCCCCTGCCTCCTTCTGAGGGTGAGTAGGACCTCTTGTTGTTGGTGGTGGTGGTGTTGTTGTTTTTGGTGTTCGTGTTGCTGTTGGTGTTGTTGTTGGTGTTGTTGTTGGTGTTGTTGTTGGTATTGTTGTTGGTGGTGTAATGGTGTTTGAAGTGGTATTAGCGGTGAAGTTGTTTTTGTTGGTGTTTTGTGGTTGTGGTGGTGGTGGTGGCGTTGGTGTTTGCAGTGGTATTGGTGGTTGTGTTGGTGGTGGTGGTGGTGGTGTTTGTAGTGGTATTGGTAGTGATGGTGGTGTTAATGTTGTTGTTGTTGTTGTCGTTGGTAGTGGTGGTGGTGTTGTTGTTGATATTGGTGATGTTGGCATTGGTGGTGGTGTTAGTCTTTGTGTTGATGGTATTGTTGACGTTGGTGGTGGTTGTGGTAGTGGTGTTGCTGGTGTTGTTGTTGTGGTGGTGGTGGTGATATTGTTGTGGATCGTAGGCTGCGGGTGCTCTGGTGTGGTTTGCCTCTTCTTTCCCATCAAACATCTATCGTCTTTATCTCCCCTCCTTTTTTATTTTTGTCACTCTCTTGTAACACCTCTTCTCTTCGGCACTTAATATGACCTTGTTGTGTTGCAAGTGCCGTAAAACTCATACTAAAACTAAAAACTAAAAAGTTCTTCTCTTTTGTGTTGTTACTCTCTTGTAACACGTCTAATCTTAAGCATTTATTGTGTTGCAAGTGCCTTAAAACTCTTACTAAATCCAAAAAAGCTTTTCTGTAGTTGGTGGTGATGTTGTTGTTGTTGGTGGTGGTGGTGGTGTTGTCCTGTCAAACATCTATCTTCCCTATCTCTCCTCTCCTCTCCTTTTTTGATCAGTGTAACTCTGTAGTCTATAATCTTTAGCACGTATACAACCTATTTTATTGGAAGTTCCATGAAACTTTTACTAAAACTAAACTCTGTATAAGTTGTTCTTATAAGTTTCTTAGATTGGTTAAATGAATTAATAAAATAAGTCGATAGTGATGTAAAACGCCTACTCAAACAAACAAACATCAAATAAAATGAGACATGTGTTGAAGAATCTAGAATGTTTGTATTGATTGCCGGTCACTGTTTTGTGTGTGTGCTTGCAGCCATTCAGCAAGAAAAGAAGGAGACTGAACTGAGGAGCTCCATCGAGGGATTCCCTAAAGGTCAGCTGAAGAAAGCTGAGACAACAGAGAAGAACCCACTGCCCACCAAAGAAGGTAAAGTTTGACTCAGTTCTTATAGCTATTAGAAACCTAGTCCTGTTATGTCTTGGTGTGTGGGTGATTGGTCGGTGTTCTGGTGTTGTTTGATCCTTTTTTCCTATGAAACATCTATCATCCTTATCTCTCCTTTTCTGTGTTTGTTACTTTCTTGTAAAACCTCTAATCTTCGTCACTAAGGTGAAAGTTCCATAATTCGAACCATAGAAAAAGATAATTGAGTTTTTTTGGCCTCGTGAATAGAACAAATAGACCAGAGAAACTGCTGCTGTGTAGAAAGACAGGGAAAGAAAAGCAGAAGAAGACAAAGAACAACATACATGATGGCCTGAACAACTTTGCCATAAATAACTCAAAGAAAAAACCTGAGCTGATCAAGAAGACGGACAACTGGAAGGAGTGGGGTACTGATACACGGTACATGATCGTCAATGTCTGCCCCAGACCTGACACTTGATGATGAAGAAGAAATGCATGTTCAGTACCTAGCAATTTATCAAAGGGAGAGCAGACAGCTTCTGCTTTTAGATGATTCTGTCTGGGACACATACTGCCCTGGTGGGCCTGACTTTTGTTTACTATTTCGCGATGTCAGTGCTTTCTTGTCGTATCTCCTTTTTTTAAATAGTGAAAATATATACATCTTCTTAAGCTCACTCTTTGTTATACTGTTTTCACTGTTATTAAAAATGGAGATATAACAAGAAAGCACTTGGGTCGAGACTTGCTGCTTTGTTGGAAGATGACTTAGCACAGCTTAGCTTGTTTGTGCTAAAGGCAATGTACCTACAGTGGTGTCTGCTAATACTGAACATGGTTAGTCTGATAACAATGGTAAACCAAAATAAAAAATAATAAGTGCAACATTTTTTCTTTTAGTTGAGGAACTTCTCTAAGCTGAAAACCCGATTAAACTGAAGAAAATTTGGCGGGCCTGCAGATTTCAGTTTAATCGAATTTCACTGTATGATTTTTTTGCTGCCCATTTGCATAGATCAGAGATGGCCATGAGGAATGCAGTCTTGAGGATAGGACATTTTACTTCTTGAATAACAAGTCTTCAGCATGTAGGAGATCTTTTAAAGTAGTGTTTGACGATACTGCTAGGGTAAATGGGTGATTGGAGCATGCCACTGGTAGGTCCTACATCTTTACATTTTCCTCTTTTGTTTCTGCCCGTTTTACTTATCCCAGCACTAAATGACCATTATTGTTTAAGTGTGCTTCTCTTTACTTAAACAAACAAACAAACAAAAAATGCTCTTTTCTCTTCCACAGAGATTGCAGCAGAGAAAGCGGGGAAATAAATCTCCTCTGTCCTTCTACAAAGACCCCTATCAATGTTGGCACGGCAAGGGAACTGACTAGAGGAGCTGTGGTGGAGTTTGAAACAAAGGGGGAGGAGTTGACATTCAGCTGTGATGTCTAACCAGCAGTTTCAAACATTTTTTGTGAACTTTATTTAATGTGAACTAAAATTGGTTTTACTGCTTGCATAAGTATTCTGAAATGGTCTTTTTATGGTAAGGTCTTTGTACTTGAAATTTTACTGAAGAAAGAAAAAGTTTTGAATGATGAGCTTGAGTAAAAGATCTTTCTTAGTAATGAGCGCTTTAATAGGGCGCAGCATTCAACTTTCGTTCAAATGTGTCGAAAGAATTCAGAATAAGACTGGCTTTCTGTGGAAAAAAATTTAAAATTGTTCAGTTAGAAATTACTCAATAAGCGAGTTCCAGTGTGTGCAGCACGGATATCGCATAGCTGTATGGCCAGCCTAGTGTGTCGCTCCCTCTTGACTTGCCTGTCAAAAAGCTGACTGCGGACAGCAAAGATGGTGTCGGGCTTTTGAAAGTGCCTTAAAAATTCATACCAAAATATCTTCTTTATTGTCGATGAACAAAGTGTATATAAAAATATACTTGTTAGATTGTCACTGTTCAGATTTATTTTTCTTTATTAGAGTTATTATTTGAAATTCATGATTTTCGTTGTTTCGATGTCTTGACTGATTTGGTCATTGTCATGAAATTCAAGTCCTTGATGACTCCCCTGAACTGGGTGGTAGAAACAGCAGTTCAACTTTTTTTATACTTCAATGAATAAGACTCAAATCCTTTAAAAAAAAAAAATTTGATCATCTGAGATGGATACTGCAAGTCTGACACTGTCTTAACTGTTCCCAGCGGTTTGTTCTGTACATAAATTGTTATCCATGCAAGCCTGTACATAAGTGCCTATTCAACTGGTCAAGCATTTGGAAGGCCAATGTTCTTTGTGAACACTCACTATCTGGCATTTAATGTTATATCCCATACCCCCAAGCTTCTCTCACAACTCCGTACATTCTATACAAGAAGCTGGCATAGAAGTTTTGAAAGCATAGGTTTATTTCCATTCCCACATATCATTCCATGAAAAGATCAGAGGAGATTATTTAAGAATTGTCAAATTTCCCTTTCTCACCGTTTGTGAAGATAATGGCTATCTTTGTTTTCAGTGTATCATTAGCCTCGATGAAGCTAAGGTTTGCAACGTATCTAGTCCATTCAAGCCATACTTGCGTTAGAAATGTTACAGAAGTGACAGAAAATTAACATGTTACTTCTAGGGACTGGAAATATCGAATTAAGTCTCTTAATTTTTGTCAAAGTCGGCTTTAGTTTTGACCAAGTAAAGTGTCTATCTAAGCCTATTCCGAAGATATTTGTCCTTTCCATTATGATATATACAATCATCATCAAATACTCTTTTCAGCAATTGTTTATTCCTTTACTTGTAAGTCCTATCAGAGAAGGTTCATAGCTTGAGCTATGTCAGTGGAACAAATTAAGTCACACCAGAGAGTGTCTTAAAGTTTTAAGTTTTGTTTCAGGGGCACGATGGATCTTTTACTCTCTGCTTTTTCCCCCTATTATGTTCTTTTTGTGTATTTTATCCTGGTGCTAATGTTCTTTGCACTGTTTCAGTAATCATTGTATTTGCATTTTGGTTCCTCCAAATTTATGTTATTTGTTTTTAAATTGTTCTGTGAGAATTATTTTGGCGTTATTTCCATAAATGCTTGATGTTCAGCCGCTGCTGTGCTGTTTTGTAAAATTTCCTGCTTCTACATAGGGGTGAAAATTCCCATGGCTCTTTGATCAAGTTTTTGTTAGATTATTGCTAAATTTCAGGAAATATTTGTTGCCACGTTATGACAAAGTAGACTCTAGTGTTTGAGTCAGTGTCTTGTTTCAAGACAACTTAAAGTTTTTGTGCAATGTTTTGCAGTCAATTGTTTCACATGTTCTTTGAAATGACACGCAAAATATCCTACATAGGTTGGTACAGTACAAGATATGGACCATTCATGGCACATTCCTTAGCCTGCAACTTTCTGGTTTCCAGACATGATATGAACTACTCTGTTATTCTAGTTCTACACTGTAGGCAGTGCAGTTTTCCTTTTGAGAAGATTTAAAAAATAATAAAATGAAAACAGTTTTGTTTCTACAGGGCAAACATCTTTTGTTTAAATTTCTTTTGATCATTCATCTAATGCCGTCTTGCAACATTTTGTAACATCTGCTCCTAGCTGCCAGTACTCGTCTGTACAGCTCCTTTCCACATTAAACATTTTTGTGTACCTTGACAACAGCATGTCTTTGACGTTATTGTATATTTTTTATAATTCCTGTGTACAGATGAGCGAGTAGTTGGCGGGTGCTCTGGTGTGGTTTTTCTACTTCTTTACCTCAAGATCAACTTCTATTGTCCTAACCTATTGTCCTATTTTGTGTTTGTTTCTCTCTTGAAACACTTCTATACTTCTGTACTTATATGATCTAATTGTGCTGCAAGTGTTGTAAAACTTACTAAAATTAAACTTAGCCAGTACTGTAAAACTCTTAGAGAAACAAAACAAACTCGCCTCCTTCTTTTCTTGGTATGTTACTCTCTAGTGCCACCTCTAATCTTATGTAGTTACTTGACCTAATTGTGTTGCAAGTGCTGTAAAACTCTTCATGAAACTGTACAGATGATCAGAGGGATTGTGGTGCTGGACTGCTAATTCTGATTTTGGTTTTCATGGATCTCTTGTGTTGCAAGTATCTTAAAACTCTTACTAAAATTAAATTAAACAGAGACCATATCTAGCCAGGAACAGACCAGGATAAGAGAAAAATCAGAAATAAGCAGAAGCAGGACCCCGCCCCACAACACACACAAACAAGGATCTGATTTGAAACATGGTTACCAGTGTTTGTGGTGTAGCTTCATTTTTGCATGCAGGAGACCTGAGTGGGGAGAAATTAAATTTTTATCTATTATCTTGGGTTTTCTTCTGGGATGTTGCATCCCTATCAATGTGGGTTGGCCTTGACAGGCAGGGTCAGGCCTTCTAAATTAATTAAATTCTGTCGATAAGGCCGGAAAAAAACATTACATTAATAAATAATAATAATAATAGATAGCATCTGTATAGCGCAAATTCCCACTCTATGCGCTTCACAATCTATACTATTACCCCAGCAGACCTGAGAGCATTCTGCAACAAACTCAACTTCCTGGGAAGCATACAGTGCAAGCAGCCATTTTTAATTTCTGGGCGCTAAAACACTAACATACTGACAAGATCTTTCATTGTCTATGGCCGGGTACCCATTTCCACCTTGGTGAAGTGAGGAAAATTAGTGTTAAGTGTCTTTCCCAAGGACACAACGTCGGGCCCACGGCTCGAACCTCCGACCCCGCATCCTCACGACTACGGGTCCGATAGCGGAACCACACATTAGACAAAAATAACATGGTCTCTGGTGACAACATAGTGTCATGAGCTTGTTGGAATCAGCATATTTTCTAGTATTCTGAGTTTGAACTTTGCGTTGCACATTAAAAAAACCCACGAAGCCTCAACTGTCTTTGGGGAAGATATTTTATGTTGGCCATAATAATAATAACTATCTTTCTGTCCGGAAAAATATGTAGCACAGACAAGGTTTGCGTCAAATTCTGTCCAGGTGATTATAGCCTGAAGGCGTTTGAGTTTGACAATTCTGAGTTTGCTCGCACTATCAGGAAGTTGTGAGAAGTGAGATTGTGTCAATTAAGAATCTGTACTGTATGGTACACTTGAGTGAGTTTGCTTCAAACTTGACTACTCGAACCCTGCCCCCTAGCCCTATTTTGACCCTCTTTCTGCCCTCCCAAGCCAATTTCCTGGCATTCACACATTTGCAGGTAATGCAGTTGAGTCCAATTACATTGAACACGATTTATCGGAAAACGTTTTGAATTAAAAGATATCATTTTTTTAAATAGCGGGACTCCCCTCTATACTGAGTCTGATGGTAAAAGTTTTGGGAACCTTTAATTTCTAGCCGCGGGTCTCGGTCCGACTTCATGAAATAGACCACACACACAGATTTTAAAATTGGGTTTTGGGGGATTGGGCCTAGAAATGGGGTCAGATCCCAATGTGTATTGGGCCCTTTACAGTGGAGAGACGAAATTGGATTTGTCGACCAGTGCGAGCAAATGTTCAAGGGGTTAAATGACGTAAAATAACCTTTTGAGGGTTTCAGTTTCAGTAAAAATGTGATGAGGGAAGGTTTTTGATTCCGTACATGTACAGCTTTATTATTGTCATTAAATGGACAATAGAATATAAAACATTTATCAAAAGAAATAAGCAGTTTCCAAAATTACATTTTGTACAAAAACATAAATCATAAAAGTTATAGAAAATCACAAGTTCACAATGTAAACGTTTTAAAAAGTAACACAAAGTGGTGTGCTGGGAACCTGGGAGGTAACTCTGGCTTTTCATAACCATGCACATCCAGACATGAGAAAGTCCCTTTGCAGTAGATAGAAACTACACCCAGCTGTGTAATCAAAGGATTGTCTGGGTGAATATCATCCAAGTTTACTATGAACCAATCAATACATGAAAGTGCATGCTGAAAACAAGTATACCAAAATTTTAAACACCGAATATAATTCACATTTGCACTTAAAGCGCAACAAAAAACATCAAGTACCTCATACAGAAGCAAACTTTGACATAAAAATGAATAGTCAGCAATATTGTGTTTTTACAAAGATTGTTGATTTGTATGTACAAGAGTGATTTGGGTTGTGTTTTTTTTGGTGTAAGTACATAATATGTCCCTGGTGGCTACACTCTCATTTTTACAGTGGCTTTTATGTCTCTCTCTCTCTTTCTCTCTGTCTTGCTCTCACTTCTCTTTGTCTCTCTTTCTCTCTCTCTCTCTCTCTCTCTCTCTCTCTCTCTCTCTCTCTCTCTCTCTCTGTTTCTCCTCCACATCTTTTTTGTGTTCTTCATTCACCCATATTTTCTCAGTTGTACATGTTTTGTTTTTGATTCAGTTCTCAGTCTTTCAGGGTTACGGTAGAGTTTTCCTGTTGTACATCTGTACGTTGAACAACTTCATAGTAAAATCTTTCTATCCAATCATTCATCGTCAGTAAATGAAAACATCCTGGTCTGTCCACATCTACGCACATTTAGGAAGCTTGTTAGTTAACGTACAACTTAAAAAGGAAACACAAGAGTGTATTGCCATTTGGTACCACCTCCTTTATTTTTTTTTAGTAGGCAAGCTTTTGACTGTCATATATAGATACCAGAAACAGCAAGGTAACTTTAAAAAATTCATATTTACCTGTAATTGGTTATTTTGTGTTGTACAGAATAATGAGAAAAACAATGTCACCTATTAATTATTAATCAGGTCACATGACTTTGTTTATCTATCATAATTTATGCCCATCCACTTCACCAAAGTTTTCTGACACTAAGCTCACAGGTGAACTCTTTCCTCTCTGAAACTGAAAAAAAATTCTACTTATCAAGTCAATGTTAACAGAAAGCTAAACATTGAAATTTTATTTGTGCAGGTAAAATTTATTTTGGCAGTGGTATGGGTACCTTTCCAAGATAGCAATGATATCACGCCAGGATACCACATAACCATAATAATAATTGTAATTCTTCTCTCCCCCTCCCCCCAAGTTCTATTGGAAATCCCCTGTGGGTGGTTGGCGGGTGCTCTGGTGTGGTTTTTGCTCATTCTTTCCTATCAAACATCTATGGTCCTTATCTCTCCTCTATCTTTTCTTTATATAGAGCTAATTAACTTTCTAGTTTTAGCAACACCTCTAATCTTTGGCACTTATATATGACCCATTTGTGTTGGAAGTGCCTTAAAACTCTTACTAAAACTTAAACTAAAGGGTATCCCCATGCAGTAGGCCCCTATTGCTCACCAGTTAAAGCTCATGATGTCAGCTAGAGACACAACACAATTGATAAAGAGCAAGTATTTTTTTGGCTAGTATTTTCATTAGAGCAATTCATAAGACTTCACCTTCACTTATCTCGTAGTCTGGCTGACTGTTGGGGCACCACTGTAGATTTTTCAACTTTACAACGAGATTCATCCATTCCCCGCAGTTCTCAGCTTTCTACAGTGTGATGTTCCAGTCACTGCCAGTCCACTCTTTGATATTATTGTCTTCCAATCATTGTGAAAGGAATATATATATATTGCAAAAGTAATAACCCTTGCCTAGCGGTGACTTAACTGTCCACCAAGTGGATCTGAAGGAGTTTTGTCTATCGCATAAAAAAAAGAAAGCCATTTGTTCTTGCAGCAGGAGCTCCAGAGCTTAATCTTTCATCAGACCTGTGTTTCCTTGGACTCAACTTTCAATTGCATTGAAAACACAATTTCCATTTCGTCTCTTTCACCAGAAAGTATAACGTCCAAAACATGACACTGAAGCAAATTTTGGCAGTTGCCTTGCGAAATTAATTGTCTGTGGAAGCCTTGGTGAATCAATGAATATATACAAACCACAAAAATGTCATATCCCGTTCGATGAACCCCCGATACTGCCAACGTATCAGCTGGCATGAACACAGCCTTTCACCATAAGGTTACCTCCCTCATAATCATACAAAACAGGCCATATGACATAGTTGATTTTCTTGGCTTTCGACTGGTTGCACGACCACCACAGTTTATGTTTTGCATCATCAAATCGAGTGTCTGTGCTGCCCAGTTTCATGGGAGGTTTCTGGATAACCATCTGCCAAGTGAGAGAGCTGCACTCTTGAACATATCTCAGAAGGGATGGGTTCGACCACTCAGACAACAGGGGTGAGGAGCTATCACAGCGGGACTTGACCATCTGAAAAGAGAAGGAATAGGTCAGGTTGGGTCCTCAAAAATATTAAACTGAAAGTCAGAGCACACCGCTAATTGTATTTATTTAACTAATTCTGGGCCAGCCAGATTTTCCTTCATGGAGGGGGCAAAAGCTACCATTTTGGCACAATACGACTGAATTCAACAAAATTTGACTGTGACTTTCAGAATCTAACACGTTTGTTTTTCAAGGTCATGAGTCAGATCGGCAAATCTTGAGACTCGAAGCTTCCACAAGAATCATTGTGCTAAATATCAAGAACTGTCAAACAAAGGTTACACACATAATTAAAAATGTTGCGCTTGCTCTGTTTTGTCTTTTAACGACTCATTTCCAATAGGAATCTCCTAGTCCTAGAATGGTAGGTGCTATTTCGTTAAATCTGAGAGCACAGTTGTATAGAAAACACACCCTCTTCTCCTCCTTATGAGACTACTGGTTGATTGATTGAACTTAAATATTTTTTATCGCCTCTGACACAATTCATATTTATCATTTAGTAAGCAGGCTGCTTTGATCTTGCCTGACAGGGCTAACCTAGGATGATAGAGTGTATCTCTGGTGAAGAAACACAAAAATTCAAGTGCATAGACTTTCTCATGTGAAATCAAACTCACATGTTTTTACACACAATGGCAAACGTTCTAACAATTCCATTGCAAACAGCGACTAAGAGAGATCAATGGCTTTTATGGAAAAATCAGTTCTAAAGAAGCAAAGATAAGAATAATCACCTTAGAAAGGCTCTGACCTCACCAGACACACCATGTCTATTATAAGCATGAACTAGCCTTGAAAGTACAGTGGAGTGCGATTAAACCAAAATCTGCAGGACCATCCAATCTTCTTCGGTGTGGCCGGGTTTTTGGTTTTGAGAGTAGTCAAATAAATTTTTTAAATAAAACCAACAACCAGAAACCCCCCCAAACCCCAGGGGTTTTATTTTCTTTCAATTTAATGCTGTTTTTGGATTAAATGTGTTCAGTTAAAGTGAGTACAAGATTTTAGCTTCGGCCTATCAGCATGTATATAAGAAAGCGACAGGCAAATTTCTTTGGACACACAATGCGGAAAGAAGCATTAGAGAATATTGTAACAACAGGCAAGTTTGATGGACAGAGAAGCAGAGGCAGACAAAGGGAAAAGATACTGGACAAGATGACAACATGGCTAGGGGCAGCAAGAACAGCAGACACCATTGCTGCAACGCAAGACAGAGTGAAGTGGAGGTCCATGATCGCCCACGCCAGTCGGCAAGGCACGGGATGATGATAATCAGCATTTATGGTGTTATTGGAAGGGTCTGTACCAATGTACAAGATTCCTACAAGTGGGGTAACCCTCTCATTGACTTATTTTCCTATATAAATTTTTTATACACACAAATACAAAATACTATGTTTTATGTAAACACAGGTCAATCAATGTTTAAAACGTGAATTTTTTATGAATGTAATGCGCTTTTAACATTTTTTAGAAAATGTAAATGTGCAGCATAAATTTTATTTATTATTATTATCATTTAAGAACTGACCTGAGCTACTTCACTTGTATTGATCTTGTCATAGGATGCCCGCAGTTTCTGACCGAGCAAATCTGACATATCGTCCGGAAGCTGGCCAGAACACTGACCGTCAAGACCTGCATCTACTAACGTTACCTTTGAGCAAAAGAGAAGCACACCAATACACAAATGTTGTCATTAAGTGCCTGAAGAAAAGCAAGACAAACAGATGGAAACAAAAAAGGAAAAGAATAGAAATTACCGACCTACTTGTGTCACCCTCTCACCCTGAGAGTGAGACGAGATACAATGCAAAAAACAAAGTAAAATTGATACTGTACTGGTAGGAGAACAAAGCTTTCATAATAACTATGTCAAAACATCTAAATGCAACAGAAACTTGAATACCTAAAATGTATGAGACAAAAACATTCATAATAGAAACTATGTTATCCGCAGCTGAAAATGAGTCAAGAATCTTATTCTTAATATCTAAATGCAACATAAAACGAAATGTTAAAAAATATAAATGGCCTTCCATGCCCAAATCACACATTTCTTGTTCAATGCTTTGAGGAACTTGTATGACCAAAACATGAAAAAATTTAATAGAGGCTGTACTAACACAGTGAATCAGATGTAATGAAAAAAAAAGATGCACTTCACTAAGAACTTCTCCTTGCTGTTAGTTTTCCTCCTGACATTTAGAGACAATGATCGAAGTCATTCTAAGCCTTTTTTTGATGACAGTTACTGTATTGACTGTACAAAAAAAAATTAGAAGCTGCTGTGATTTGAAATTTCAGTATATAATACAATTTTCTTTTATTTACCATTCATTTTTTCACAAAGTGTTGCTGGTCTCCTTTCAAAATTGTCCCTGGATATCACACACATAAACAGACAGACCAAAAAGCAAATGAGATTTAGCTTATACAGCAAGGTGATCATCTGAGGTTGCCTGTTTGATACTGCAGTGAATTAAATAGGTAACAAAGTTATTAATCAGTACGAACAAGAGTTAACAAGACTCATTTTGATCTCTACTCACCGCAGCTGTTGGATTGGACAAGATGTGGCTTATGACCTTTTCAACACATTTCAGTGTGTGAGTATTGACTTTGAAAGATGTCTGCAAACAAAAAAGGAAGGGGATATATTGAAATGATTAAATATGATGCATAATTCAAAGCATTGGACTATTTTTATTTTGCCAAGTTAAAGTAACACCAAAGAAGGAGACGACTATATTATTCAATGTCATTCCATTTTTAAATACTTCATTTGATTAACTCTACTCTGAAGAAAAACAATTTTTTAAAGGAAAAGTCTGTACACAAATTCTATTCTTTCTCTTAAGTTGAAAAGGGACACCACAAAGGAATAACGAAGGAGATAATGAAGGCAACCCACCACAAGCAGGTTACACAGAAACTGCACAGCATCTTCCTCAGAGGCCAAGTCCTCCAGGCCTTCCTTAGCGTCCATCCACTGCTGGGACTCAAGTGTTGTGTACGCCACTGCAATGTTGCTGGGCCTTGACTTCTCACTAGGAATAAATAGGCACAGTAAGAAAATGTTTTAGTCTGTCTGAGCTGGAGTTTGGGATAAAAGATACATGATGTACTTCATATCGATTGCTCAAATAAACAGGCACAGTGAGCAGATGTTTTAGCTTATCTGAGCTGGAGTTCAAGATAAAAGATAATTCATATTGACTGCTCCATTCCAAATAGCTTATGGCAGAGTCTTATACTAAGCATTCTGTATTAAATATCTTTTTTACTCTTTCCCCATTTCTTCGCAACTCATTTTGAGTCCCTCAAGGAGTGTTTATAAAAAAATACAACTACACTCGAACCTGCTTCAACGGCCACCTGTATAACTGGCCACTTCCCATTTTCCTCCTTGTGCTTTTTTTTTTTTTTTAAACTTTATAATGGCACTGTGTAAGACAGACACGACCTGTCTAAGATGGCCACTTTTCTCCTCAACAATGGGTGTCCGTCTTGGACAGTTTTGACTGTAGTTCTTTGACAAAATATATCGACCAAAACCAAAATGGGTCACTGATCCCCTCAAACTATTGCGAATTGGAGAGACACCATGAATATAAGATGAAATATGTGTGGATGTAGAATGTGCATAGAAAAGATAACGCGAGGTAGAAACGCAGGGAAAAAGTGATTAGTAAGAACACACATCACATGGAATGGTGATCTTTAGGTATGGGGCACTTCAAATTTGTCACTTGAAGTGCCGAGGTGGAGGGAAATAGTTAGACAGGACATGATAAGTATTCATTCTTTGCAAACTGATTTTTAGCAGTGAGTTAAATATTTAGGGTAATCTGACAGGTTCAGATTGCTGCTTGATGCCATATCCATAAGAACAATGTGGATTTTTAAAAAAAGATAACAAAACGTATTCAGTGTGGTTAGGGTTTTGTTAATAGATGTTTAAAAAATTCTGGTTAAAGTAAAGTACAGTCAAACCTCATTGTACCACCCCCATTATACCGCCTGCCAGGCTTAAATTTACTGCCAGGTTTTGCTAGTGTACGAAAAAGAGCGCCTATATAAACAGGGTGTTTGCACGTTCACACCGCCATCCATCAACTGTCTGAGTTGTACTGTCCTTATTCAACTAATGTAAATTTGCCCTGCCATACCGCCAGACAACTGACCACCAGAGGTACCCACTGCACGCAGTGCACAAAACCCACTGGTTGGCTATTTGATAATCTTTCTCCCATGAAAAAGAAATAGAGATAGATAGAGAAGACTCTTGGCTCTGAATACATGGGCACGTATGTCTCTTTTCGTCTATGCAGATGGTCGACCGGTCAATTTAGCTTAAGATGGCCTCAAGGTTGTGTTCATGCAGTTTCTTTCATGGCTAATTCTTCCTATGTTTGAAGCGCAGATTCTGTCGTAATGCTTGTTTGTCAGTGACGTCTTGACTAGGCTAGATGCCTGGGCCTGACTATGGAGACTATGGGTATGAGAACGTGTCTTGCCCAATTTGCACGAACCCCCTCTCGACTTTGCTGATTTAATCCAAAGGGGCGACGAGGTCAATACATTTGGAACCACTAGAGTTGCAGGGGATGCCAGAAGCCAGAAGATAGTTCGGATCATTCCTCCCTGTAGACTGTCTTAGGGGCCCTCCCTCTGGATTTGTTTAGAGTTTACTCCCTTAGCCTTTCATACTCCCGTATGTACCTACAAGGCAGTAGGAACAGCTGCAGGTAGTACCATCTAGTGTCATTATGGTAGCAACACTAAGGCTGACCTCACATGTGCATGTACATGTATACATATATCACATAACAAAAAGATACTTTTCAAACAGGGATGGCACCACAGAATCATGTTACTTGACGTTGGCAGTCAAGGCTATACAACAGAGGAACCCCGTTGAATCGCCATCCGTGCTATTCTGCCAATATCATGCTCGTCCCAAGGGTGGCGGTATACAAGTTAACAAGGTTTGACTATTGATTCCCCCCCCGCCCTCTCCTTTCTCTCTCTCTCTCTCTCTCTCTCTCTCTCTCTCTCTCTCTCTCTCTCTCTCTCTCTCTCTCTCTCTCTCTCTCTCTCTCTCCCCCTTCCGTTTTCAGATTTTCATGCATCGTGACAATCACAAACTCATAATCAAGTGTTTCCTGCCCCTGAAACATATTATTATAGCAAACCCCAGAGTGACCCCCATGGTGAACCAGACATTGCCCATTAAGTCAATCAGTTTAAATGGAGTGGAGGAGAGGGAGGGGGAGGAGGGGCTAATACCCAGTGCCCATTGGCATGATCGATTCAGTTCGCCGATTTGGTTTGGTAGGTGAGGCAAGCCAGATTGAGGGTTAAAAAGCGACCATCGAGGCACAAACCAAACAAAGTCAACGGTGACTAAAAACAATTAATGTATTTGTTTTCAAGGCTGCGAGATGGGCGATAGGTTTGTATTAGAGAACTGATATCCCAGTGGATACTAGGTATTACTTGTCTATCTTACTTTACTTTTTTCTTCCGCTTGTACCGTTGGGTGTCGCGGGGAGACACAGGCGTCTGTCTGCAGCGAGGTGAGTGGCCTGTAGGAGGGACATCCCGTGAGCTCTGAGGGTGTCTGCCTCAGATTTGCTCCGGTGTCGCCTTGGTCTTCCTCTGGCTATCCAGCTAGAATATTTCATGTTGTATGCCCTCAGGTGTGGTTGGTTTGAGGGCATCCGTGTGAGGTGTCCGAAACACTTGATCTTTTGTTTTTACCATGTCTCTTGTGATTTCACTTTTTGTCTTGTTTTGTTAACCGCTCTTCTTTAATATTTCATTTCGCATGTGACAAGCTTCCCCTCGAGGGCTTTTTTTGGGACCATGTCTGGCACTGATATATGAGCATTTGTTGGAACATTGCGTTGATGAGCTCCACCTTGGTGCTCATGGGGATATTGGGATGTTTCAGGAGAGGGGCGAGTTGATAGCTGACTGCATTGGCTGTCTGGCATCTAGTCTCTATTTCTTGATCTAATTTTCCACTTTCTGTGAAAATGCTGCCCAATTATCTTAGTTCGCTGCTTCGCTTTATTTGGGATACATTGATGTTGATATCCACTTTGTTTGGTCTCCTGCTAACTGTCATGACCTTGGTCTTGATACCACTGATCTTCATGGCATATTTCGCAGCTCATGTTTAGTTGGTTTATATGCTCCTGTATTTGAGTCTTGTGAAACTGCGACTGGCTTTGTAAGCTCGAAGTGGATATTAATATTATTTAAGAAAATAAAAGGAGACACAAACCTACTTGTCTTTCATCGACAATTAATTTTTCCAGTGCTTACCTGATGTTCTCTGTCATCCTATTGTCCACCCGGGGCCGTGGCTTGGGACTAGAAACTGCTGGTTTGGACGGTGAGTTGTTGGAACTGTGGCTGTTGGCTTGAGAGAGTCTGAGGAACAGAGGAACCTGAGGGTAGTCTCGGAACTTGTTGGAGAGGGAGGATGGGAGAAAGTAAGAGCGAGGGAGAGAGAGAGAGAGAGAGAGAGAGAGAGAGAGAGAGAGAGAGAGAGAGAGAGAGAGAGAGAGAGA